AACGTCAAACATCCGTGAAGAACACACTGAAATAGCTGCTTATGAGAGATTTTTCTAACAGAATATATTAAATTTTGATATGTTTTTAGATCCCTAACATTTGAAGAATAATTATCTATAGTTCTGTGTTTAAAACCAAACTTAATTCATAGTGAGAAGTCCTGGTTTTCCTGGAAAAAGCGATATATTCCCCCATTTAGTCATTATTTGTCGATATTAAGTCATTATTTTGTGATATTAAGTCATTATTTGTCGATATTAAGTCATTATTTTGTGATATATTCCCAGAAAGTAATACACTGCAGTCCTCTGATGGATTCTCATGCAGTACAGTAATAAATGGAAAGCAACATCTGCCTGGAACAGCTGGAAATCATCATCACAAACTCTAAAGCTGTACAGCACACATCTAAAAATGAACCTTTACGAAAGCACCGGTGTGGAGCTTCAAATGACGTCAGCGCAGGTTTAAAGAAGCTTTAACAAAACAATGAAATTAATCCAATCATGACGCAGAGGTGAGTTCACCTGCTCAAACCCAGATTAAAGCAAATATACACGTTTAATCTTAATATTTGACACTATTACAATACAGTGTCACTGATTGATTGTCACATTTAAAGAGTACAGGGGTCTTTCAGTGTCACATTATTTGTATTATATAAGTTTCCAGGTGTTCTTCTTGACAATACGGGACATCACTTAGTTACAAACCGTCAGAAAAACCACACAGCTGATAAATAACAGTTCAGATCAAGTAGAATTTATCTCAGTGAGGGGCTAATGTTTCCTAAATTTACAGGACAACGTAGATTATTTCCAGCATATTTTGGTCATTCTAATCAATTTCCAGGTTTTCCAGGACACAGATTCTGATAATAATGGTGATAAAACATAATAATTTTAAAAGAATTAACAGTAAATATAAAATCTAAAGGATCCAATGGACAGTCTGAAGGCTTCACACTCTCCGTTTCCCACCTTACAGCTGCTGTACCTCGACCGAGAATCTCAATGTGCTAATCCACAATGCAGCGCCACTAATCCCCGACAGAGCGGAGATTAATCCGCCTGCAACAATATCCGGACACACACACACACACACACACACACACACACACACACACACACACACACACACACACACACACACACACACACACACACACACACACACACACACACACACACACACACACCTGTCTCTGTGGTTGGTGCGTTTGCTCAGCAGCCGCCTCAATCCTCCGTGTTTGAAGGACTGGTGGTGATCAGCCGGAGCGCCGAACGTTATCACCTCATACCACACACCTAGAGAGAGAGAGAGAGAGAGAGAGAGAGAGAGAGAGAGACTATTACAATGTATGAGAAGAACAAGAGTGAAAGTGTAGAATAAGAAGAAGAAGAAGAAGGTACCTCTCCCGTCTGGATCAGTGACCTCCATCCTCTGTGAGTGAAGGTTAGTCGGGACGAACTGAAGATGTTTGTCCGACTTACTGGAGCTCGACTTGAAACAGGACGAAGCTGCAGAGACGGAAACATTCAGATAAACCAGCAGTAAACACAATATTTATTTATTTATTTATTTAATATGTGCTACAAGCAGTCAACAACATACAGACTTTATTCTATTCTAATCTAAATGTTACTTTTATTGTTTTTAGTTTTATTTTTATGAACTTTTTTCCACTTTTCATTTAATTTTTCTTCTACAGTTTGTTGTCGATGTTTTCTTTGAAGAAAAAGATAAATAAAGTTTAAGAACAACTTCTTTAAGAGACACTAACTACAATGTGACGTAGTGGCCCTTTAAACAGTAAACAGACTGTACTGTTATATAACGCAGCAGCGGGAGGAGTCGGGGGGATTCGAACCGCCGACCTTCACCTGAGAGTTTGTCGAGCTCGGCGAGCGTGTCCTGGTAGCAGCCAATCAGGTTGCTGCAGTGGTTGACGACGTCGTGGCGGAGCCCGTCCCAGTGGGGTGAAAGGTCGCCGAGCTCCTTCACCTGCTGGACCCTGAGGAAGACAGGAGATACAGACGGGGATCTATTATTGATTATAAATAACTGAATATATTATTATTATTATTTCTTTTTTATCTTTTTTATCAAAACAAAGTCTGACACAGAAACATTTACATCCTGTTAGATCCTGTCTGTCCACATGCCGAGGTAATCAATTAATCAATCTATCATCACAAACACACACACACACACACACACACACACACACACACACACACACGAGGAAGAGTAACCTGTTCGTGTGCTCGCGTATGAGCGCGCTCAGTAGCTGTTTGGGTAAAGAGAAGGAGAGCGGCGTCTCCGACATCTGTTCCCGGACCAGCAGCCATCTTTGATCCTCCGTCTGAAACCTGTACACCTTACACACCTGAGCACACAGCACTGCGCACACACACACACACACACACACACACACACACACACACACACAGGAAGGAAAGGTCATATAAGGGCAGAACATCCTTCAACATAAACTGTTTGTGTTTACTGTGTTTGTGTCTCACCTGCTCTCATCATCGGACTGTTTTCTTTGTCGTGGACCGAAGTGTGAAGACTGTCGCACAGCGCGGGACACTGAGGAAGAGGAGGAGGAGGAGGAGGAGGAGAGATGGCATTAAAAAGGAGGTGAAATGTCTGAGATGACTCGAGCTGCGCAGTGTTGAGCGATAAAGCGACTGACTGAACCTGAAACCGACTAAAGCCGCAGAGCTGAAAGTGTCAAACTGTCAGACGAAGAGTCGAAGGATGAAGAGGAGGTAAAGAGGAGCAGCACTTTATTCTTTCTCTTCTCCTCTACCTTGTGTCCAGGAGGCGTCTCGCTCTCTCCCTCCATCTGCAGACGGGACACCTTCACCTCCCCGACCTCGTTCACTCCGTCCATCGTCCTGATTGAAAGAGAGCGAGAGGAAGAAAAGACTTTCTTCATGTTTGGAAACACAAATATTAGTGATCGCTAAAGAAGATGTTTCACCTTCAGGAGGACAAATAAATCTCTCCTGTCGTTAAGGTAACTAATAAATCTGATAACCCTTCACGTCCTCTCCCCGTCCACCTCCTCAGGGTCGTATTGAGTAAACTTACTGTCACACATCTGGAAGAACTACGTCCATATGAACCATTCACAGACCGCAGAGCTCTGATATCTTACTGAGTTTAACTCATACGATCAATCAAAGATCAAAGCTAATGAGCAACAGAAACTACGAGGAAGACGAAGCCAACTCTTCCTCTCTAACTGGAAACTACATCACGTAGCAGCATGAAGCTCTGTAGCTCTGCCAACCTGTGCCGGGGCAATAATCCGACACACCTGGCTGCAACACGCCAGCACAGACACACCTTCAGTACACCTGGCTCTCTCTCTCTCTCTCTCTCTCTCCCACTCTCTCTCTATGTCTCTCTCTCTTTCTCCCACTTCACTTCAGCCCTCTCCTTCCAACTCCTTCTTGCTCTCGTTCTATCACTTTCTCTGAATGATTATGCAGAAACAGAAAGAGATTTTTCTGCTCCAGACTGAGGTGGAGCCACGCACTCCTCTCCCTCCTCCTCTCACTTCCTCATCTGGCCACAGGTATCCAAGCAACGGCCAATCAGGAGCCCCCTCGCAACAGCTCCGCGAGGTGGTTAAAGGTCCTTAAAGTGAGACTGCAGAGGCGCATTAAAGGACGGATTTATGGAGGTTTTATGAACAGGTTGAGGGAGAGTTTTAGCGGGGGTGAAGCTAAAGGACAAAAGATGTTAATAAACTTTAAGGTTTAAGAGATTTTAAAGGATCTTATCGTGGTTCAGGACGGGGTGTGAGGCAGAAGTGAAACAGGAAGTGTGTTTACCTGAGGCTCAGGGAGACGTGAGGCTCCTTGGACCGGAGCAGATCTCTGATGGAGAAGGAGGTGAAACCCAGAAAGCTCCTCTAAAGACAGACAGAGAGTGAGACAGAGAGTGAGACAGAGAGTGAGACAGAGAGGTTTTAATGGTCTGTTTCTGTGTTTCACTTTATGCAGTTTACTAATCTTTAAAGTGTACAGTTTTTTGCAGTTCGAGAACAAGAAACAAACATATTAATGGTAAATAGAGCTGCACAATTAATGGATATATTATCGTGCAACATGCAAAAGGCAGAAACTGCAGTTTTTTATATAAATATAATTAAAATGTGCCACGAAGCAGCAGTATGATGAAATAATGTAGTTCTAATGAGATGTCTTCGCCTAGGAAACATGTTTGTGTGGTACAGACTCCCAAAAAATGTCCCTATATGATGATTTTTTTCTGTTAAAATTTACATTTCTGATGCAAAAATTAGCATATCTGTCAAAATAATCGCAGTATGATGTTTTTTACTGTACCTTTCAGCCCTAATGATACATTATTTGTGTGTGATATTTGCATTCGCACCCAAATAAAACTTCACAGAGAGAAAAGCTGAATGTCTTTCTGAAGGTTTAATATGTTAATGTTTCATACTGACTGGTTTTCAGTTCGGGGCAGTTTCTCACATAAAGGGGCCTCACAGTCTAAATGTCCTGTAACATTAATTAATAAACGGCCCATTCTGCCTGCTGCACACACACATCCATCGGCACCGGGTCACCGCCGGGTACCAAAAGGTCTCCACAGCGATGGCATTAACATCACTCTGTTGCTATGACGATAATCAGAAGCTCAGAGGATTATCCTGACGAGTGAAAAGCACTCAAATCACCCAGAACACCGACAGAAAGCATCAAACTCACATTAAACTCGTTTATTTCTTTTATTAAATTAGTGTAAATTCATTCGTTCTGCTCCTCAGGTGAAACTGACGGAGGGTTTTCAGGCGTCAGATGAATATTTAAGAGGATTTAAGGTAAAACGCTGAGCGCCGACTGATGAAGTCCATGCACTGATGGTTGCAGCTTCTTTAACGTGAATATTTACTGGTTTTCTTCATCTTTTGCGAGAGGAAACTGAAGCTGTCTGAGGAAATAACTGACAGATGATGAAGATAACTGCAGTTAGTTGTAACCACGTGATGATGAAAGTATGTTAAATATACATTAAAAGGTGAAGAACAGAAGACCAGAACAACCTAGACATAATCCAAGTACAGAGTGTCCTGTTACAATTTAGATTATTTCTAGGATATTTGCTCATTTTAATCAATTTCCAGGTGTTTCCATGACTGCAAAACTAGTCCTTAAATATACTGGTTTTCCAGGACGTGTGGGGAACTCTGATTATCTGGGAGTTTGATTGACGAATACAGGACAACAAACGGTGGTCAGCGAGTTTTCTGCTTTTTTTCACAGCAACCAATGATACCAATTCTGGCTCTGTTCCATTTCGTGTAGCAGCCTATCCTCCCCGACTCTGTTTAACCTGAATGAAACAGCTGCTGTGAAAAAGGTCTACAGACTACAGTGATCCTCTAACTGTAATATTAAAATTCAACACAAGTTTTCCAGGGCAGAACAGATTATTTCCAGGGTATTTGTTCATTTTAATCAATTTCCAGGTTTTCCAGGACGCGTGGGAACTGTGTGTGTCCAATCAGACAGATTTCACTTACAGCAGCTTTAAATATGAACAGTGCAGCTTTAACTACCTACAGCAAGTTGATTCAGAACACAAATAAGTGGAAAATTACTCACAATTAATTATTCTATTGATTGTTTTGTTCGAGCAACAGTCCAAAAAACACAGATATTCAATTTCTGATTTATATAAAACAAAGAAAAATAATCCTCATAATCGAGGAGCTGGGAACAGAGAATGTAATTTGTTTAAACTCTACAAGTGAAACAGATAAAGTGAAACCACTTCACAGTTAAACTACTTTCATTGTCACTTCCTTCTGTGTCTTTTTTAATCCGTCAATCAGTTTAGTCGTCGATCAATTAACAAACCAACAGTTTCAGCCTCTAACGCACACACTGAAAAACCAGAAGCACCATCAGACGGAGAGAAGGAAATAAACAAACAGGAAACTGAGATGTTAAAACACACACACACACTGTTACCACACTTCCTCATTGGCACACACACACACACACACACACACACACACACACACACACACACACACACACACACACACACAACAAGCTAATCTGTCTCATTGAGTTCTTGGGCAGAACAAGAGGCTTTTAAGATTACAAACTAATCCCCATCAAACCCACACACACACTCTAACAAACAAACATTTCTCTATCTGTGTGTGTGTGTGTGTGTGTGTGTGTGTGTGTGTGTGTGTGTGTGTGTTTGTGCACTTCCCTACCTGTCCAGCAGAGGAGCTGTTATCTCCTGGTGGACAGAAACATTTGGTGCACGCCATTGTCGCTCTCTGCATGCCCGGAAATTTAAATAAACAAAAAAAAAAAAAACGCGACAAAACACAACACGACCTCTTCCTTCCTGTTAACTTCCTCTTCCTCTGTTTACTTCCTGTTTTCTCTCATCAGCTGCAGACTTTAACAACCTGTCGACCTTCACTCCTTCAGAAAGAAAAGCTCAACTCTCTGCTGCCAGAGCTAATCCTACAAAATAACATAAAAATAGGCTCTTTCTTTTTCTTATGCAGCAAGTTACGAGTTAAAGTTAGTTAATTATAGTGAGAAACAAACAAAAATACAATAAAACAGACCAAAGCTAGTAAGATAGTGTACAATAAAAGATGTTTATTAAGAGCTTTAAACACTATAAGATGTGTAAAATATCATTTAAACGTAAACAAAGAGCAGCTTTATCATCTTCTTTATTTAAATCATCTCACTTTCTCTCATTAAAACCGAAAGAAATCGAGTTTTCAGAGTCAGTCTGTAATGTTTCTCCAATCTGCTGCTGACCTCTGACCTCCTCGCACTGCTGCCTGCTTTGCAGTAAAAATTCTGGGAAAGAGGAGAACGAATAGAGCTGCGTATTTTCCCGTACGGACACAAAAACTGTACTTTGTTTTTGAGGAATATAATATTTTCCGACGTTCTCTAATTCAAACACGAGCTGCCGAACGAGAACCTGAACTATAAAACATCTTAAAACTGGTAAAAGTTTTCATCAAAGAACAACTAAACAAGTGTTTCTGGTAAACAACGAGAGGTAATCCGAGCACTCACAGTAGCTGCGGAGTAACACGACAACCTCCAGCAATGAATGGGACACCTAACTTCCAATTTCCCACCTGCACCTGAACGCACCACTGAAGTTAAAGCCCGCTGCACTGCTGAATGAAAGAGACGGGGAAGTGAAATCTGCTGCAGCTAAAAGACCATTTCTCCTCGTTCTCCTCGTTCTCCTCCTGCCGCATCGCGATGGATTTACAGACGGCAAAATAAAACGCAAATAAAATAAAAGAGAGACGACGAAGACGAAGAAGAAGAGGAAGATAAACGAGTAAAAAGAGGAGGAATCCGGACAAAGTAATCCATCAGTCGTATTAAAATCCTGCTTCGGTCTGAGGGGACTAACACACACCGGCTGAGTATCTCTCTGCTCCCTCCATCACCTCCTCCTCCTCCTCCTCCTCCTCCTCCTCCTCTTTCGTCATGGCCGACAGGATTAAAACCCCTTCGGCATCATGGGAAATATGCAGATTAACAAAGCTCCCGACGGGTCAACCGGGGTCGGGTTTTTACAGAAAGGAAAGAGAGGAAATAACAGAAATATTGATTCATCTAAAATCTCACTTTCTCACTCTGTGTGTGTGTGTGTGTGTGTGTGTGTGTGTGTGTGTGTGTGTGTGTGTGTGTGTGTGTGTGTGGGGTCGAGAGTGTGTGTTGAAAAGCTACCACCACTGGTATTACACATGTACACATCCATTGGCACTAATCCTCTTGCACACATTTTCAGACACATCTGAAACACACACACACACACACACTCACTGTGGTGTGTGTTGCCGGCTCCTCTGCGTGGTAAACGGTGACTTTGATCCTGCTGTGATGGTAGAGAGGGTAGTCGTCACGGAAACACACTGATGTTACAAACACACCGTCATCCGGTCCCTGAAACACACACAAACACACACAAACACACACACACACTATAATATAATACAGTGTATATTGTGTATATATGTGTGTTTGTGTGTGTGTGTGTGTGTGTGTGTGTGTGTACCTGCACTACCTCACCGCTGCAGTACTTCCTGACTGTGTGAGTGTGTGTGTCAATCACAGAAAGCTGAACCTGAACTCTGGCTGCCACGGCAACCACACCTACAGCGAGAGAGAGACAGAGAGACAGAGAGAGAGAGACAGACAGACAGACAGAGAGAGAGAGAGAGACAAAAAAGAGAGACAGAGAGAGCGTGTTGACATAGTAAAGTGTGTGTGTGTGTGTGTGTGTAATACCAGTGTTGAAATATTCAGTTAGTAAAATTTAAAATTTTTATTATAAAATACTTAATTATTAAGTTATCCCATGTTTTCCTCGTAACTCTGGTTTTAAAAGCTTATAAATAAAGTTTATTATTATTATTATTTCACGGAATTACTTTATATAAATAATAATATATATATAACATATATATATAACATAATATTAATTTCTCCCACAGAATCAACAGTTTCATTTCATCCACAATAATACGTCCTAATTAATTTGATTATTTCTTCTTCTTCTCTTTTCTTCTTCTTCTTCTTCTTATTATTATTATTATTATTATTATTATTAATATTATTAATCTGCAAAAGCAATCAAATAAATGTAGCATAAGAATTAAGCAGAAATAGATTAATAAAATATTAAACTGTATTTAAGTAAATGTACTTTATTTGTTTGTTTTCCAAGAATCATAAACATAAATTCACTGTTAACATACAAAAGACAGATATATATATATATATATATATGTGTGTGTGTGTGTGTGTGTGAGACGTACCGACACTCAGGTGCAGTGGTGAGACTTTAGCAGCAGGTTCGACTCCACCTTGTGGCCACAAAACAACATTACACCAACAATCACTGAAAACACTGCAAAGTCAGAAAACTGAAGGTTTCCAAAATAAAACTGAGACAAACTAAATGTTTGTTTTGTTGAGTGTAAACCTGCTCAGTGACGTTGTATTTCAGTAAATCTGCCTTTATCTTTACACAATATGATGTCATTAAAACTACAATTAGTAGGTTTAAATGATAACTGTTCCCCTTTCAACAACAGAGGTCTGAAACTTAGAGCTGACTGATTCTGAAATCCTGCTCACGGACAAGTTTCCACATGATTCAGCTCATAAAGTCACTGCAGGCTGAAATATCTGGTTGTGTGAGTCAGTCTAATGTCTGTGGTATGTTTCTGTTAGCAGCTTTTCTTGGTGTTTGTTTCTACAAAAATCTACATATTTCTGACCAGAATTGGTGTGTTTTCTGCACTTGGGTCCTCCGGTTCTGCAGCACCGCAAACAACTGCAGTGCATACAACTTAATTCAAAGTCCCAAAACATAAAGGATCAATGATCACAAACAGATAATTTAATAAATACAGTAATAAGTAGTAAGACATATAAAATAAAAACAGATACTTGGTTTCCATTATAATGGACTCTGCTCTGCAAACCAACTACAACAACTTCTCAATATTAGAAAGTTGTGAAAACAAATAGTTTAATAGATCACAATCAGATGAATTTTGGGCTTTGCAGAGACATTTTATTACATCCGCTAACTTTGTTTTTGAACCAATTAAAGAACCAAAACTTGATGGTTTATTTATCGTTATTAAAGTTTTATTTTAGATCAGTAATATTTCAGAACAAAGAACAAAACAAGAAAATATTTAAGTTATGATCTGCTGGTCAAAAACATCTAATAGTAGTTTTAATATTTGGAATAGAACGATTATTGGATCCAATATTGAACCTTTTTCCTACTTTCTTTTTCGATTGCTGATAAAATAAATTACAGATATTTTGACTGATGGATTGATCGATTCCCGATATCAACATACCCGAACTTTGCATTTCAGCCGAAACGAGTACCGATCCCATACAAATACAGTTAGATGCTTTTAATGTGAAGCTGCAGCTGTAGGAAATGTTGGGTGGGGGAGGGGGCTTCATGAAGCACTTTTTTCAGGAATAATAAGTATCCAGGATGCAGCTGCAGGGACGGCTCCACAAAAGTGAAACCAGAGCACCTCGATCATCCTGTTAGTTCAGGAAGCGTTTGAGTTTTCTTTGAGCCGAACATTTTATACATCAATATGATAGAAGATCATTTAAGTACTTTAGTTACATTCCTGGTTATTCTCTGAATCTTTTACTGCAAATCTTCTTCCCTTGATTACTAATAATTAGTATCTGTATCAGTCGATCTTAATTAAGATGTTTACCTCCAGCATCCTGCAGGTTTTTCTCTCCCGCGCCGCAGTCTGAGGCAGCGTGTGTGTGTTCCCGGGCGCTGTGCGTGTTAATGAAAGAGTGGAGATGTGCGATGCGTCGCCTGAGCGTCTCGGTGTTGGCGTCTCTAAGGACGGCGAGCCAGGAAAGACAGTCTGCAGAGCCGCCGCACTCCAGGAAGACAGGAGGGTCGCCGCCCTCAAAGCCTGAACACACACACACACACACACACACGTAGCTGTGAGATTAAAGCAGCATTAGTCTCCTGAATGTGAACACCATGTTTAAAACTCTTATTACTATTACAGTAATGTAAGTACCAAAGCTTTATTAAAAAAAACTACCGTATTTTCCAGACTATAAGTTGCTCCGGAGTATAAGTTGCATCAGTCAAAAAATGCCTCATGAAGAGGAAAAAAAACATAAAGAAGTCGCACCGGACTATAAGTCGCATTTATTTATTATTATTATTTATTACTTCGGCCCATGGGGATATCAAACGCGAGGGGGACCTCGTCCATGTTGATAATATGATCCGGTGACACGTGCAGCCTGCGATTAACGTACTGGCGCTAAACACCGTTCGGCTCTGAGTGCTGGTACGTTAGCTTTCTTTGTTTTCTTCATTGCAGTAAGAGTAACCTCTGCTTTTCGCCAGTCCATCACAAGTTTCTCACTCACTCCAAACTGTCTTTCTGCTGCTCGTTTACGGTTTTCGGCTGCATATTTTGCTACCATCAGTTTGTAATCTGCAGAGAATGACTTTCTTTTGGGGGGCAAATTTTGTTTGTGTCAAGCCTAGAGCGCCTTCTCAGGGCTGTGGACGGTAATGTTTAGGCTACTCCTCGTTTCATGTCGGAATTATTATTCAAAAACATGTTCACATGTAAGTCGCACCTGACTAAGTCGCAGGACCAGCCAAACTATGAAAAAAAGTGCGACTTATAGTCCGGAAAATACGGTAATCTACAAACCCCAGGCAATCAGCTGGTCCTCAATCAACAGTAAGCAGGTTTGAGGGGTAATAGATTACACGTAACGGAGTTACATTACCAAATCCTTCAAATTACTAACTATTAACAGTAGTTGTCGTTATCAATTTAATTATAAATCAGAATTTCAAATAGTTTAGTGTATGACTAAATCAATTAAGTTTTAGCAAAGTTTGTTTATTTTTAAATATTTTTATTGTCGGAATGTTTTGTTTTTTTTATTCCTTCAATCTTTTGCTGTGATGTCATCGGTATGTCATGATGTCAGAGATCAAAGACAATAGAATGTTTCTTTGATACAAAGGCGAACATTCTGTCTGCAGATGTATATATAGGATCGAAATCCAACATCAGTTCAGACTCACTTCGAACACAAAGACAAACACTGGAAGCACAGATTCTTCAGGACTTTGGATCCAAGGATGCATAAGAAGTGCGCCATTAAGAAGGCCCAGCAAAGCCTCACAATGGAGGCTGCGGAAGACATCCTAACAATAGAAAATTTGCTATTGGAGGAAATTGCACTAATTGGAACGGAGGAGTCGTGCCACACCCCCGTTGTTCCTTCTCTTGATGAGACAGGAACAGAGTCTCAGATGAGCTTTGTGGACAAAACAATCAAAGTTGTAAAAATCCTCATGCAACAAAGGGCCAAGAGCATAAGACCAGTTCACTATAACGTCGACATTTCGGAGGAAGAAGGCGAGATGTTTGAGTCTGAATCTTCCCAGGACGTGGAGGAGTTGGCCTCTGCGATTGTCAGGGAGACAATCGTGGAGCTTAAAATAGACTCAGAAGGTACACTGCCGGAATCGCTGGCTGTACCCGAGAAGACGTCCCACTGGAAAACAGTGGAAGCCAAAGTTAAGGCATTCTACGCTCAGCGTTATGCCATGGGGTCACTACTTGGCCTAATGGCAAAATTGAGGCGTGATTATAAATGTCCCCCAGAAGAACCGTCTTCTGTGAGTGAGCTGATGGAGGAGGCTGATCTGGTAATTAGAAGCATCATATCATTAAATGAAGAGGATCTAAAGATGGCCACGGAAGACATGACCCCTGACGAGATAATCAATTCCGTCGGAAGCGGTCATGACAACGCAGCTGGCATAGAGCTCGGCAATATAGTTTCCCAACACTTACAGCCAGAGGTTCCCATGGAGGACTTCCGCTTCACAA